GGATCAGCAAGTCTCGGACGAATACGTCCAAAGGGAACCTCAACCCGTACTGAAGCTGTCTTGTGTACACCCCCACATACCCCGGGGGTGGACGATGGATTCTATCGGATGCCGAGGGCATTCGGCACCAATACCCATCAGCTTCAAAAATTCCGTAATGCAACTCAATTTGCTCGGCAAATCGATATTGATCGGCATTCTCCACCCACCATGGGTAGGGGCGGTTCTTTATCATGGCCGAAGCAACTTCGGCATTCTCCCATTCTGAAAACCCGGGGAGGATATCCCAAAGGACAGCGGGAACTTCATCATCCCGTCCAGAAGCGCTCGGCTCCTCCGTTCTCTGAGGAGGAGCCGAGGAAAGGGGAGTCGCCCTAATCCCTTCAGCAGGATCAGACTCTGGCCTTTGTCCATTCCAGGTCCCAATCCTGTTCCTAGGATCGGGAATCGGCCTTGCTCTTCTTGGAGCTCGGGCTCTACCTCTAACTCCTCTTGCCATTGATTATTTCGAAGAAAAAAGTCGAAAGAAAAGGGGAAGGAGTTCGAATTCGAAGAAAAATAAACTGAAATCAAAGGAATTTACCTTAATCTGAAGCGAAAGTTGCCGATTTACGAGTTCGTAGTGGCAAGTCTCAGTTTCTAAGCTTAATGCTCGGGGAATTTGCGAAGTTTTGATGCGGGTTCTTGGTTTCTCTCTCGAGAATTCTGGGTTTGTGTTGGTGAATAAGTGAGGAGAGATGACGCGCCTCTGTTTATATCTCCAGGTACGGGATACGAGGAGTCTGCGTTTTAATTTCTCTTAAGTACTCCACTAAGTAACCGTTAAACACATGATCTTGTGATTAAACTGCCCATTATCCGTCCAACTTCCACAATCATTAATCGTTGTTATCTCATTAATTACGGTTTAAATTCAAATTTTTGGATTAATTAAATCATTTACTTCCCTCCTTTTCTGAATTAAATCAAACCCGACCCGTCATCCTTCCAAATCGGGTCTGGGGGGCAAGTTGTTTGGGTCCAATTTAGTCCAATTGGGCCTAAGCACTAAATGATCCAATTAAAAGCCCAAGGTCAAGGTTCAACTCTCCAATTGTGCTAAAGTCAAAGGTCAGCCCACAAAGCAAGCCAATTGGGCTAAGGCCCAACCTCTCCATGTATGATGAGGTATAAAAGCCATCATATTGATACATTCAAAAAGGGATTCATTCTGATTCATTCATAGATTCATATGTTCATTCATATATTCTGATATATTCCATAAAAGCCTCAAGCAACAAACTCTCTTGCATAGTGTCTTCTTCTTACACATTGTACTGACTTTAGCATCGGAGGGGCCTTCCTCGGCAACACCCCCGAGGCTAGTTTACGTGTGTTTACTGTGCAGGAAATCTTCGGCCCAACATAACTCGGACCGAATCCAGCCTTCTCCATTTCAGCGGACCTTCGGCAAGGTCCCATTGTTTTCACCCGAAACAGTAAGTAAGATGAAAATTCCGTGATTTACATGAATATTTATGGGTTTATTTGGCTGATTAGTTATTGTTGAGAGTTTTGATTCTCATTTCACAAATTTCCCATTTTTATTCTACTTAAACATGTCTGATCTTTGATTCAAATTTGTTTTTGGGAAATTGCAGAAATGGAGAGTGGAACTGTTAAATTTCAACCAATCACATTTGTGGTAACACTTTGATGCACTCAATTTTGTTAATTTATTGTTCAAATTCCATTTTTTTTTCTTGGTTAAAATCTTGCTATATTGTGATATGGTGTTTTATAAACAGCTATTAGCGACATTATTGCAAGATTAGTGATAAGAGTGATTCCAACTTCCAAGGGTGTCTATCTTCTTTTTTCTAGCATTCTGTCAAATTTCAATCAATGGTATTCCTTTGCTGGAGAATACCATAGCTCTAAATTGAGGTGTACATAAGTCATTTCAGTATGCTACAAGTGATATATGCTTTGGAAGAAGCTGAAAAGTTTAGTAATTCCAAAGTTTTTGATATAATGCTGTGAAATTTCTTTGGGATTTCATTAGTTGATGACATTCAGACCTCGTTTGGTTTGATGTAAAATGTTTTCATGGAAAATGATTTTCCCATTTTTCTTTGTTTGGTTGGTGAAGGGGTGGAAAACAATTTTCTCAAAGATAGAAAATTTCGTCCTTAATGACGGAAAATATTTTCCTTTACTAAACAAAGGAAGTCACATTTTCCTCCCTCCCGCTTAACTCCTTTTTTACTTTCCTCTCTCCATCCTCACATCCCCACTCCTATTTTTGTTTTTTTTTTTTTTTTAAATTTTTTTTTACTTGTATGCAACCAAACAAAGGAAAACTAATTGGCAAAAATGGGAGTCCCTTTGTCTCCCAAAGTCAATGGGTGGTATGGGTTTTAGAGATATGCGTGTCTTTAACCAAGCTCTCTTAGCTAAGCAAGGTTGGAGACTATGCAATAATCCGGATTCGTTACTTCATGGTATCCTCAAGGCAAGATACTTTAAAAATTCGGATTTTTTGGAGGTGGCTAGGGGGTATGATCCGAGTTATAGCTGGCGGAGCATTTGGGGTGCGAAGGCTCTTCTTCTCGATGGTGTAAAGTGGAGAGTTGGGAATGGCTCGTCAATAAAAGTTTGGGAGGATGCATGGCTGTACGGACAGGGCGCTCATTCTGTTCCTACTCCGAAACAGGACAGTAATTTAGATCTCAGGGTTGAACATCTGTTGGATTTGGAAAATGGGTGTTGGAATATGAATGTATTGAACGAGGTCTTCTGTGATGAAGATAAACAAGCTGTTTTGAATATTCCAATTTCCCGACATTTACCCAGAGACAGCCTGTATTGTTGGCCTAACCCGGATGGTATTTATTCAGTTAGAAGCGGCTACTGGCTTGGAAGATTGGGTGTTTTGAGATCTTGGGAGCTTGTCAATGGCACTGCTAATAAGGATATTTGGAGTGTTATTTGGAATTTAGATGGTCCTCCGAAGTTGTGCCATTTTCTGTGGCGTGCGTGCAAGGGTCAGTTAGCGGTTAGCGATGTTCTGTTTAGGCGCCATATAGGTAAGTCGAGCAGATGCAGGGTCTGTGGGTGTAGTGAAGAAACTGTGCTGCACTCAATGTTTGAGTGTACGTATGCCAGAGAGATTTGGGGATATAGTGATTTTGGGGAGTTAATTCTTGCGTGTCCTGAAACTAATTATGCTGATACTTTATGTTGGATTGCAAAAAAGATAAGCAAGGATCAACTAAGAGTCTTCACGTCATTATGCTGGGCTGCTTGGCACTGCCGTAATGTGCATATTTTTGAAGGTCCTAATGACATTCACGCTGTGAGGATGGCTATGGGTTTTGTGCAGCTCTCTTCTGATTATGGGATATACAATGCAAAGGTGAGGGGTGCTAGATTGCAACAAACATGTGGCTCTGCGAGTTCGTGGTCTTTACCTCCTAATGGGACTGTAAAGTTAAATGTTGATGCTCATGTGATGGAAGGGGCTGGGGTTCAGTTTGGAGCAGTAATCCGTGATTGCAGAGGGGTGTTAGTGGCAGCAGCGGTGAAGCGTTGTGAGGCAGTGTGGGCTCCTGATATGGCGGAGGCTGGTGCAATGAGGTATGGGGTTGAGCTGGTGCGAAGACTGGGATACGATAAGGTCATTCTGGAAAGTGATGCGCTTACTGCGGTTCGAGTAATCCAGACGAAACAGTTGGGTGCTGCTCCTGTTTTTCTTATCCTTGATGATGTACTGAAAATGAGTGATGAATGTTCTTTCTTTTCTTGTAATCATGTTAAACGAGCGGGGAATACGGTGGCCCATTGTGTTGCTAGGTGAGATACCAGTATTTATCCGGAACGAGTCTGTATGAGTTCTTTTCCCCAAATCCTACAAACTTTGGTGGATCTCGATTTAATTTAATTTAAGTCCGCTCGTTCGGCCTCAAAAAAAAAAAAAAAAAATTTGCAATTGTGTTTTTTCTTGAAATTATGTATTCCATGAAAACTAAATTTCATTATAATTGACATTAAACCAAACGGAGCCTCAGTGTAAAGAGATACAAGGGTTTTTAACTTACAAAAAAAAAAAAAAAAAAAAAAAAAAGAAAAAAAAGAAAAAAAAGGATTGATCAGGTAGCTAGATTCAAATGGTGGCTGTTAATGCGAAATTTTAACTTTAAAACAAGTTGTGTAAAATTTCTAGCGGTGATGCATGCATACCCTGACATCCTGAGCTCCTGACAACTATCGGTGTATATTTTCTTGAGAATGTGGGGGAAAAAAAGGGTTATATGGACTTATATCGTCTTCTCTTTCTTTGTCAAGATTTGGTTCCCATTGCTTAGCATATGGATTCAAAGACCTTTCAATTGCAGTTCTTCTGTCTAATCTATGTTGAGGCAAATAACATACCGTTACTCCGTATTATGAGTTTGTAATTGCCAGATTATGACTTGAAAGTTGCAAGCTTTGATCCCTCTAGATTCTCTAATTTGACCAAATCCTTTACTTCCCAGCTTTGCTCTCATACTATTTTATGCCTTTTTTCTGAATTTTGCTATTGCTCAAATAATCAAGTCTATATTTTAAGGCTGATATTGTGTTTTTTACAAATTTAGGTATGTAGAAATTGTACACAGAGGATTGATCGAGGACAATGGCGTTGTGAAAAACAGTCTTAAAGCTGATTGGATAACAGAAACTGCTGGACGAATTCAACAATACTATCATGGTAAGCTAAAATTTGCTCTTTATATCTTCCTTTTTGATGATAATGCATTTCATATTGTTTTATTACTTATTTGCTTGGTCTATCTGGCTTAAAGGGGTTAGAACTTAGAATGCTCAGGTTAGAGTAAGGTCACAACAGTGGTTTACTGTTTTCTTTAATATGGAATTTCAAATTTTCCTTTCTCAAATGTTGGCTAATTGTGACAGTGACGGCCAAATTTATTATAAGCATCCAGGAGTTCTTACTTGTATACTTGAACCAAACTATATACATTAAAATATCTTATTAATGACTCAATCTTACAATATAAGTTTTGCTGGGCCTGGTTGCTTCCTAATGCTTGAATTTCTTACAAAATAATGTCCTGTTATCTATTACAAAACGCTTTTCTTCTTGACCCCCTAAAATCATTGCCGGTACAGTGCACTTAGTGAAAACCACCTGTCCAAACAAAGGGGGTTGCTCAGGGTTGGGGTTGTGCACATAAATCTGCTCAATGCAGTCACCATAATTTCTGGTTACATGGTAAATATAAAATTGAAAGTTAGTTACAAAATCATAGTAACATTTGTTAAAATTAGTAGTTTTGCACAGGATTGACTTAACATCTTAACCATTCTTAACTCATAAGTAGTTGCAATCCTGTGTAACTAGATTCTAGGGAAAAATATAAAAAGTGTTCAGCTAGCCAGATCATCAAGCGGTGCAGGCTGGTCACATATGCGTGATGTTTACCCAAAATGATTTAGACTAATTTTTAGTGTCAAGCAAATGAAGGCATGTATATATATACATACCTTGCAAAGAAATTGGTGACCTGATGGGTTGACAGGGGACGTTTTCTTGCAAAGGTGAAAAAAATGGATCTATCCTCTATCTTTGTTTTCTCAAGCTTTGGCTCCCATGGCTGAGCATTGGGATTCAATGCATTAAATTTCTCCATGTCTTAAAAAATTTGTGAGATTTTGATGAATATGTGTAGTAAACAGGAAAAGTAAGAGATGAGAGACCTGTATTTGTAACTTTTTGGTCTGCTGTTCCACTGAGTTTACGATGGAAAATGCAGAGAGCAGCTGTGAATTTATAATGTTTTTTTGGTTTCAAAAGGCGATGATGTAGACAGGATTTACTTCCCGGTCTTGGATTTCACCCCCTTGACTAAGTTAGTCGCCATTGAATTGTGAATATAGAGAAATAATTTAAGGAAATTATCAATTTAGATGCTGATCTATATTGATTCTACTTATCACTATGGATATTAATTCATTTTCCCACTACCTTATTTTTCCTTGATTTCTCAATTTTCTGTTTTATGATATGAGGTTTTTAAAGAAGAAAAGATGTGAAATCGAGCCTGATTTCTTTCTTAATAGGTTAAATGGCTTAAATCAATTGTGATTCATAATCATATATGAGTTGCTACACATTCGAGCCTATGATTTTTTTCCCTAGCCAATTGCGTTGATACGATAATCCTACATATTATAAATGACTTAAAATCAGTTGTGATTTATAACCATATCTGAGCTGCTATCACATTTGAGCCTATGATTTCTTTCCCTAGCCAATTGCATTGATATAATAGTCTGTATATATTTTAAAATCTTAAATCAGAAAAGATATGTACTTGAAATTAGAGGGAGATTATCTGAAATCAAAACCTTTATATTTTATTAGATTGCTATTTGGGAGAATTAGGCCATGTTCTCTTCACCTTAACGTAATAATATTCGGTAAAAATAATTTATGTTCAGTAAAAGTTATATGGACTTAGATCGTCTTGTTTTTCTTTTCAGTGAAGCTCCTACTTACATGAAAGACTTTAGGCTTATAGGGTTATGCAACTCCATATATAAACTCATTACTAAATGTATCGCTGGAAGTTAAAACCCTTAATGGAGAGCTTACATTGTAATACTTTCCTAAATAATTTCTCTTGGAAGAGAATGTGGAAATTTAGTTTTGTAAAACTCATAAGTGGTCAATGAACCATTTCGAGGCTGCATTCAAAACAACAGGTCATATCCCTTTCAAATATAAGGTATTGTGGAAATTTCTTCCTGCTGCTAGTGTTTTAGCACAAAAAACCCAGATTTTAGTCCTGCTTGAATTCGTTGTAAATTTGTAATGCTCCTGTTGGAGATTACCTTCACCTTTCTAGGGATTGTCCAACAAGCCTTGCCTTTTGGTCCTTAGTGTTTGAAAAAAATTACAAAAAAAATATTGATCTGCATTTGTTTACAACACCAACTTTACAGATTGGTTAAACTTCAACTTGAATATTGCTGGAGAATGGAAGATACTTTTTTATATATCAATCTGGCATTTGTGAGTTGGTGGAGCATGGCTGTTTTTGAAAACAAATTTCTATCGGTCTACTTATTTTCATAGTTTTTGGTTTTATTATCAGAATACTATTAACATGAAACAGGTTGGTCTGAAGACTCTGAAGTCTGAACCAGCCATCATCATCTGATGTTGGAATTTTTAACAGAATTTGGGCGCCACCACAAAAAGGTATTACAAATGAAACATGGATAGATACTGGATTGCTGTGGATAATGCAGGTGGTGGAGGGGTGATTAGATGTGACAAAGGTCTTTGGGAAATAGTCTACTCGCTCAAATTTAAGATAATAGGTGCTGCTTCTGCCAAGCTACTAGCCATTAGAGAAAGCTTGTCTACTGCCTGGGAGAGACATATTGAGCTCAACTGATGCTTAGGCCTTGAAATACATGCTCAAAAATCCAGCAGCCTACATGGAACACGATTTGGGAGCATTGATTAAGGACATGTTGGCTTTGCTTTGAAGAGAATGGGAAGTTACCCTTCTCCATGCCAGGCGATTGGCTTGTACTCTTGCTCATGGCCTAGCCAATATGGGTAGGATGCAAGCGGAGGAGAGGCTCTGATCCATCACTTTGCTCCACCAAGTGGTCTGGTCTCTGTCTATACTCAGGACCTTATCAGGGCTGATTGATTTGCTGCTATCCAGGCTGCTTCTCTAATCTCAGAACTTAATGCTCTTTGTAATTATAGCAGGGGAGGGTTTACTTTTGCATTTTGGCTTGTTATGCTTTAGGCTCTGTAGTAGAAAGACTAGAAACAACCAATTTTCACTTTACTTTTAACTATGTTTATGTAATGATGCACTCAGACCAAGGGGTTTATAAATTATTATTTTTATTTTTATTTTTTTTATGTTGGAATTACCACATTATTGTCTGGATGAAAAGAAGAATCAAATTTCTAGCTGTTAGCTGCAAAGACCTGAAACAATACTTTCTAAGACCATATTTATCTTGTCATCTGAATGTAATGCATCTTTTTTCAAAGAGAAATTATGAGATTATCATCTTTGTTTATCAAATGACAAAATTGTAAATAAATCATCAACTTTTTATTAAACATGGGTCCTGCACTGGTTGATATCCCTATAACATTCGAGCTCTTATGAAGGGAATGATTCATCCAATAACACTCTAACTACTTTTTCGAGCTAGCTAGATTGACCTAATCCCATCTACCAAAGATCTATTTTTATTGGTTAGACAATCACCTAAGCATGTCAATAACATTATGAGCACAAACAAGCAAAGAAAGTGTAACACCCCAATAATTCTCTCTTAAAAACCTGTGAGAAACCTGTATATAACCTGAACAATTTCAAGAGAATTACTGGCAAACTACCGCCACGTGTTCAAACGTTAAGGCTTTATCAGAAAATAGCAGCGGAAAAACTAAATCAGTTATAAATAAGTTTCAAAACCAACGAATGAAACCAAATTAAGTCATACAACTTGGAACCATTAAGGCCCTTATTCAAAACCCAATAAAAAGTAGTAAGTGATTACATTCAGTGTTCAAATAAATTCAAACCCAAAAGAAATAGTGTCGAATAAAATCGAATTAAAATAAATTCAAACTTGCAAAAGAAATAAAATGCAAACAACCAACTCTCTACTCAAGATCCCACAACCCTGATGAATGCTGCATGTGTAAGAACCTGTGATAATTCTGCTCCCCAATATTACAAGTGTAAAAATTAGATCGTCACACGGTCATTGAAAGGCGAAGGTCATGACCAAAGAAAGACACACAAAGCACGCAATCAGCAAAGCTGAGTACATACAAGCTGCAAAATAAATTAAGAAATCCATAACATGCTACTAATAATCAATCATCATGCATCATTAAATTATAGACTCAACGCACGACTCAACTATTTATATTACTAAGACTCCATTAATTAATAATGGGTAAATCATTATTTTTATTCATTGGATTACGCAATAGACAAGGTTGTCCAACCCATGCTCCATTTGGAACATCAATAAAAGAAAAACCCCATGCCTCCTTTCGGAAACATCAATAAACATCCAACGACCACGGGCGCGACTCCGTGACCGTAGTTAGTATGAGATCTCACCTAACTCCTAGTTTTGAAAAATATTTGAAATAAGAGACTCGTAGATCAGACGGCCTCGAGAAAAGTACACGGCTAATACCCCATGTACCCCAACCCCTGATTGTCATTACTCTATAAGTGCACCAATCCAGAGTTTTATTGCTCATCCATCTTGCACTTTACGTGATTTACAGGTTTAGACTTGGTGATGACTCATATGCATAACAATACAATCAATCCAATATCAATTCAATCAAGTAAAACAACTTTTCAATTTCAATTCTTGATTTATTAGTGGCAAGCAACATTTATTATTTATTCCTTTACTACCTCGGTGTATAAACACCTTAAGTGCATAAGGCACCCCAAAACCTTAACCTCGTCTTAGAAGACTTAAATTCTTCCTTTACTCATCCTGCTTGCATAATCATGAATGAGTAATAAATTAATCATTACACCAATCATATACCTTTACCTCTAAGCGCACCTTGCATAATTAGAGCACAAATAATACTTGCAATATAAAATAGTGCACGTCATACGAAATTCACAATGTATAACCAAACAATTTAACTCAGTCATCCCTATACATGATACTAAGTTCTCGATCCGTCGTCCTTAAACATGCACCTAAAAGAAAGGTTTCGTAACTTGTACGTACCTTGAGCAAACGAATTGGTATGCCACTTTACTAACTAGAAATCACCTTCAATAAACTCCTCTCCTAAGCCAAATAATAACATCTCAATCAATACCCAATCAATCAAATTTACAGCAATACTAACTTACTTTAAAACCTTCAAAATCCAAATCAAACAACACTTTAAAACCTTCCCTTTAGTTAAAATTAAAGGCTTATATATAGTTCTTTAAATTTTCTTCATAAAAACCTTAAAATACACTCTTTATAAAACATCAAAAGTAGTACTTAGAAACTATTTCCAACACTTAAAACTTCAATAAAAACATATATTTATGATTAATTAACTTTAAACATAATTAATTTTATTAATCAAACTCAAGGATAATATTTGAAGTATAAAAAAACTTTGTTAAAATCAAAAACTGTCCGAAAATCATATTTAAAGGCTGAATTTGGCCACGAAAGAGTGGTGCTCACTACCAAAGGTAGTGAATCTTTCTTAAAACGTTGTTTCCACATGGAAAACACTACTTTTTCATCAAAATCGGATGAGTTCAGAATCTGATCGGGATTAAAACGGGATTAATATTAACGAACGAAAATCTAAAAATTAAAACACGAATTTACATATTCAAAATAATCTGGAATTAAGTTAAACTAATCAGTAGTTATAATCACCAAAATTTCAAAACATCATTACTATAAAAGCCCTAAATCAATTGTTCATAAAAACCCTAAAATCATGATTTTCAATAATTAAAAACCCTAGGTTATAAAATTTACAAAATCTGAAAATTATGATACTTATAAAATCTGAAATTATAAAGTTTAGTCATCAAAATACAACTTGATACTAATTAAATTACTTTTAAACAATAAAAGCAAAATCCATAAATCAATAATTATAATTATACAAATTAATAAAACAAAGGAGAGAGAAAATAAGACTAACCTTTTTGTGTGGAAAATTTTTGGGGATTAATGGGGTATTTATAGGAGAGAATGTTGTAGGGTAAGTAAGAAGATTGGGCCTCATAAAATTATTAGGCCAATTAGGTAAATGAAATGGACTAGACTTTGTTTGTATGATCATGAATTGTAGAACATAGGTTCATAAAATAGTTTGTGCTAAAATAATTTTTGACCAATATTAATAATTTGAAACTTTTGAAATTAAATTATGAAAAATAACAAATAAATATTATAAATAAAATAAATTTTTATTTATAAAATATTTAAAAATACGGGTGATTACAGAAAGTCCTCTAGGCTAGGTATTCTCTATTTTCATAGTCTTTCTAGCCTAATGATTAATTTGAGGCAACCCCTTAAATCCATCTTTCGATCTTTCATTAAGGTGTAAGGGTATCTGTATGATGTTTAGTGATGACTAATTACACGTAGAAAATACCAAATCAGTCAACCAAAACCAGCTCAAGTTAGTGAAAACCCCATACTTGAATTAAAGATTCATGAATTCAACCATCTCAAAATGAAAATGTAAAAGGATCAAAATAAGGTAAAAACGGTAATTTTATTAATTCAAAATACCAATATCGAATACATAAAACGTGATAGATTGATCAATATCGGATATTACCAATTTATCATACACTTCCCCTATCTTTCAAACTTTCACCCCTCGAAACTTCACTTTGCCAAAATAGATTTTAAAACTTTAGCAAAAGGATACATAAATCGTGATACATTGATCAATATCGAATGTTATTAATTTATCATAAACTTCCCCTTAATCTTTCAAACTTTCACCCCTCAAAACTTCTCTTTACCGAAAAAGATTTTGAAGCTTTGGCGCCAAAGAACATGGCTTCGGCCAAAGCAACCAGCAGTAACAGGTCCCCTCTCAAATCTCAATTATACTATTTTAGGGTTTTCGATGTATTGCTCTTTCGTAATTTTTCAATTTCATACTACTTTGCATCATCTGATTTCACCTTCAATCTCTTGCGCAATTTCAATTTCCATAAACCTGGCGACGAATTTTTCTGTTAATTGTTTCAGTCCGAAAGAATTACTACGTATAATGGAAGAATTTCGATTAGGAAGAGAGAGACTACATTCAATACAACATTCTGAGAAATTAATCAATTTTGTTGATTAAGCTAGGGTAATAGAAAGATATCATATATCCAAAAAAGGGAAATGTATGAACCCAATTACAGAATTCGGTGAAATTTAGTTAAAATTGTTGTTTTAGTACTGTCGATTGGCAATTTGGCATGTTGCGTTGAAATTGCTATCCGTTTTATATTATTTGCAACGATTTGACATAGAGTAGAGAGAAAAAATGTCTAATTGTTGCAAATAATATGAAATGAAGGTAGTATGATATTGATGTTGTAAAGTGACATATAATGTTGTATTGGAGTTATAGAAAGTAATTTGGTTTAGGCAGACAGAGAATTTAGGTAAAGCAAATCATACCGACAATATTGAAACGAGCTCGAAATTTCTAGCTTAATTGTTAAACAAGGATAAAATGAAAGTATTGATGTCATTTAGGATAATAATGATGATTTGAGCTGTAATTATCAACTCTGAAATTGCTTGCTTTGCTTTGGACATGATGTTGCTGATAGATTGATGGTACTAGCTTGAAATATTCGTTGGTGTGAGTTGTGTCTTTAATTTAGTAAATGACTATGATAGTTGATAGCGTTGACAACTACCAATATAATGTAGTAATATACTATCTCCTGACGAGAAAGTCCTCACCAATAATTACTCTAAATATGAATGACAATAACCAATGTCCACGAGTACTTTAGACCTCATATTGGTATGAATGTTGTATTAACATAAGTTCTAAAAGTACCAATAGTCTTGTTTGTATGTTTAGACTCCAAAAGATGTACAGACTAGTAAATGATCCATAGTTCTTTAAAATGAAATCTTTTCTTGATCCATGCAATTTTGGCAAGTTTATTTATCTGTGCCATAAGCTACTTACTTGAGATTGTTTCGTTAAAAAAATTAAAATATTTCATATATTAGCATATCCTGATTGCATTGCCTAATGCTTTCCTGCTGTTAGTGTTAGTGTAATTAAATGGTTTTTGTGGTAATCGTTTCACTTTCCACATGATGGAATATAGCTGTTGATCTTTTGTTCATGCTTCTTGTTTTTAATAGAGAGTAGGGCCATTTTATTATGTTTCATTATCTTTGGGAGAGTTTACGGAAGAAAGGTTCATGCTCCAATATTAAATTTGTCATTTGCTTTGCTTTCATTAAGATTCGAGTTCCTGTAATACATTGAATCCATGGAATTTGATCATAAGTGAAATTGATTAGGAAGACTTTATGTAACTGTAGGTTTCTTTTCTCCATGAGGGGTGAACTTAATGGCTGCAATCCACATCTCTGTCACTGAGTTGCTGTGACTGGTAGAAGTTTAGTGACTCTAAGTTTCCTTAAGATATAGTCTAGGTTCAGAAAACCAATCCTATCTCTAAAGGTTCATCACCCGGATTGCTTGTCTTTTTGAGTGTTGGACAGATACTCTAGGACTGGTTCTGTAGGGAAGGTAGGAAGATCTAGTTGGACTGTCGGAGATTAATGGAATACGAAGTACACTGTTAGTGTTGCCTCCATCATATGATGAAGTGTAAAAGGATCTTGGTACTAAGAACTGATGACCAAGAGGAAATTGGAAAAAGAAGAGGCGTGGTAGCATGGTGGGGCAGATTGAATAGATTAATACTATATAGGCTGAAAGAAATTGATATAATTCACCTAATGAAAAGAAAAGGCACCTCCTCGAAACAAATGCTTTCTGGAAAGGCTCTAATTGTTGTAATAATACTTATAGTCCTTGAGGAGACATGCATTTGCACTATGCTCTCTTGGGATCTGTTAAAATTTGGCTTGTCCTGCCTAAAGTTTTTAAGTAGCTGGAATTGCAATGAAGTTTTGGGGTTGAGGATGGAGAATGCATATTAAATCAGCTTTGATCTATATTTATTAATATATATCCTATATTTTCTTATAAACAACTTATACTCATGGATTACTTGTATTTTATTTTTCTTAAATTTCATAGATTACTTGATGCTTCTCCAAAACTTGTTCATGTATCTCTATTTTAGTCTTCATGTTAATCTTATTTACATTTTGGGACAACTTTCTTTACCCCTGTAATTTGGGATGTGAAATGGATTTGAACTTTAAAACCCCTGAGATTTGTTCTGTTCCTTGTTCAAACTATCAACTTCCAAGTACTAGCTGCATGTTGCAATCTGTGTTCACTAATTTTGAAACATTTGAGCCTACTTACGATTGAATTTAATATTCATATATTGTGATATATTGTGTTCACTTACGCTTTGTTTTGATAGAAAACAAGGAAGGAAAGGAAGGGGAGTGATAGAAGAGGAAGGGAAGAGAGAAGAAAGGGAGGGGGAGGGGAGCTTCATTTTCCCTCCAAATCTCTCCAAATTTGGAGAGATTATATGCTTATAAAAGAGAGAGGGAAAATGGATCCCTCCCTCTCCTTTCCCTTCCTTCCCCCAATCCTTTACCCAAACAAGAGAGTGTGTCTCCCTTCCTTTCTTTTCCTTTTATTTCTTTCTATCCAAACAAGGTGTTAGTGTTGCATACTTTGTATATTCCTTTGACAATTCTGCATACCTGTATGTAAACAATGACAGTATAGATGCTTAAGGCTCAAATTCTATAGTTGAGGAATTCTGTACAAATCTTATAAAATGTAACTGTCTTTAAAAAATGGTTAAAATTTATTAATTCTGCTGTCAAAGTAATGTTACAATCTAATCTAATGTTAGCTTCATCTAGATCCGATTGTCAATGAACAGCTTATTGCAGAAGGATTTTTGATAATGCTGATACTAATAATCCATATTCAAAAGCCACTCATTAACAAATTATTGTATTGTTTATTAGTGATTAATGTAATTTCATCTGCATGTGCTTTCTGTTGCTCTGTTTGTTTTACAGGAGCTGAATTTTCAGCACATTGGCAAACGACTATAGTGCAGATATATTTAATTCTTTCCCCAGCAAAGTCTACTGCTGCTTCTCTATAATTGTTCATGGAATCCTGCAATGTTGTCTCCCTCATCCAGGTATCTAACAAACCTTGGAAAAATATATTCCATTTTGAAAATTTTGTTATTGAAATTAGATATTCTGGCGTGTGTTGTGGTTATTGCATTTACATGTGTTAAAATTATTTACTTATGTAAATATGGAATCATAATTGATCATGATTTACATAAATCCATAAAGTCGTCAGAATTGGTTGGTTAGTTTGTAATGAAATCATCACATATAAGTCATTACCATAAAAGCGCAAAAAAGATGAATATGCATTTCCATTTCTGAATAGTGTTTAAGACAGAAAATGGACATGGGTCCATACATCTGGCACGCCACAAAATTTTTCTTGAAAGTGCATTTTCTTTCTTTGTAAATCAAACCATTAATTACGATGTAAAGCGTGGAGTTGGTGGGGGTGTGGGGGTTTAAGCTCCCCTTTATACACACCTTTAGAGATAGTAAAAATCATCACATTCTTCCCTAATACCTATTCCTTTTTACTCCCTTTAGGCTTTAGCCCATCTCCTAGTGAGAGGACACTAATTGAATGAAAACTTGATACACACACCAAAAAAAACAAACGCTCTTGACGCAGTAGTAGTAGTTTGCTTGTGTTCCAACCTGAGCCATGACCAATTCAAGTTTCATTTTGTTGTGGTCACTAGACGTTGTCTGATGGGGGGAGAAGGGGTTGAGTAAGTGACTTTGCTTGGCTTGATGTCCTGTTGTTTCCATGCTCTGCTGGAGACTGGATTGCAGCCTTGGCAAACTTTGCCTCCTCATTCTTACCCCACAAAACTTGGTAGAGTCCCGCTATGATCAATATTGCCCCTAGGATCCTGTCAACATATTTTTCGATCATTGTTAGTTAGATTACTCATCCAATTTAAAATTAAAACTCTATCCAATATTGTCTAATCAAAATGACTAAATGATATGTCACAAACCTTATGGAATACTACCTAACTTAGCTGCAAAATGGGTCATGCAAGTAGGTCATACTTAATTGCATGATTGATGAGTGCTCTGTTTTTTTTCCTTTTCTAATTTCATCCCTTTTTTTTTCCCTTAATTTAATCTCTCCTTTTTTTTTGTGGGGTGGAGTCTTAATATTGATTAGAGTTGCCTAGGATAGTGAAAGTTGAGATAGAAAGTTTGTGGGTGGGGGAGAAAGATATAGTAATACAAGAAGAAAGTTTAGTACTGACCCTCCCAAGTAGAATTGCTCTCCCAAAGCAATGGAAGCCATAATAGCGACAACCAAAGTTTGAACAGGTTGATAAACTGCTACAAACACTGGGCCTCCCCTATCAATACACCATATTTGTACAGCGAAAGCGATCCCTGATGCTACCACTCCCTGCAAATGTATTGAATTAGTTAGCAAATTTTTCAAGTGAACATAACATTTCACAATAATATCCCATTTCAATTATTATTAATTGCACCCTTGTAAAGTCATTAACCGGCATTTCTTGATCAACTTAAAGTTCTGTTTACTGAAAGTAGCCAGAGCACCTAACCTATCAAACTTTAGGGAAACTGTTTTGTGCATATGTACATGGTATGTGAGCGATGTGATAACTTCTATATTTTACCTGTTAACTATGGTCTCTTTTATCCGGGTTTGAACCTAATGGACATTGTTCCTTGGTCATGGATTCAAGCATGTAATCTCTCCCTCATTTCTTTATAAAACCAAAATTTGCTGACCTAAATATGTGGTATTGTACTTCCTTTGTTCACTTTTAGTTACAACATTTTAAAAATTTACACTTTTTTCACATTTTAACATTTGACCACTTTTGTTAATTTATATGTTGGGCAATATATAGTTATGTGAAATCTTGTTAGATTCATCTCAATTTATATTTTTACAATATCAATTTTTTATTTTTTTACTCATGTATAAGGATATAAAGGGTTGAAATTATGCATTGACAAGTGTGAAAGTCAAAACGTTGCAATTAAAATTGAATGTAGGAAGTATATTTTAGTAAGTTCAAAACTTTTAGTATAAAATAAATGTGAAGACACCTTTTAGATAGTTACATTGATCTTACTTTAAAATCTCCTGGTGTCGTCACTTGTTAATCTTGTAGTTGCTTTTGAGGTTCCAAAGAGTTGCAAATTACATACTTAATTCTCTAAGAGGAGTACATTGTATATTCATATATGCTTGTATTGCTGTATTTTGTACTTTTACTATATAAATTTAGTGAGCTATAAGTCCTACGAGTTGTGGAATCCACATGGGTTGGGGTACCTATGATTATTGAGTGGGGAAATAGTTAAAATGTTACTTTACTGACCAACCTTATTCTGTCTTTTTTCAACTAATTGACTAGACTTAATCTTACAAATCTCCCTCATTATTCAGCTCATTACTTCATATAAGGTGCTACATCAACTGAAAACTACAATACATGGGAGGCTATTGAATGTATGTGCCCCCCCCTTATGTATCTAGAACAACTTCATAAGTTCTCCAATAGTTTAAGTAATCTAGTGAGTTGCTGAGTTAAAATATCTCGTCGATTGGTGCCTCTTTTAAAGGTTGCACCATAAGGATGATGATGGTATAGTATAATAATCACAGCATAGTCTCATATGAATAAACTGCCTTGGTCTCTTGGATGTTCTTAATTTAGTACTGATCACACGGTCATTGAACGAGCTAAAAAAAAAGAAAAAAACATGCATGAACAATTGGACACAAAAGGCTATGTTAGGGTGTTATGATGGTATCTAATTTCTAATTTGTTGCCTAGCTAGTAGCTAATGTTAAGAGTGTGAGGAAAAATTTTCTGTAACAACTATTTTTCACATGAACTTGATGTTATTGTATAGTACTGTATAATATGCTTTATATGCATAATAATTAATGTGTATTATTTGGACTGAGAGAAAGGTAGTGTGTTTAAACTTAAGATTTTGAGTTGCTTACCGCATACATGATAGTGAAGAGTTCACTACCCGAATGGAATTTCCAAGCTTCAAAGTCCCTCTCAAAGATAGCAGCGATAACCATAAACTGTATCAATCCAAAGAAGCAAGTGTAGGAGGTGACAGAGAGCCGTGCTGGGTACTTCTTCAGAACGGGTGCCTGGAAGACTAGCCAACCAGACCATGACAGGCAATGTCCTATTAGGAAGATGCATCCCAAGGTCCAACTCTTGCCATTGGCATCTCCTAATGAGAGAAGCACCGGCGTTGTATCGTGGAGCTCTTTGTTGGGGGAGTATATCACTGGACCTTGGTATAATGTAATAATTGTGGCCCCTGCTACACAGCATGCTGTTCCTAGCACCTTCGCTATACCATCCTTTCTGTCTAGTCTCACCTTCTCTATCCTGCAGAATTTACAACCAAGCTTTTCAATACCACTGTCCCGCTGTGATTGTCTCTTTTTTAAATTTAAAAAAAATAAACCATTGTTTAAAAAATACATTTATTAGTATTATTACATGTCCAGTTCATGTCCTCATTATCTATTTATTAGTTAGTTTGTTAGGATTATCTTATTATATTTTGGATATAAATGCCCAATCGTGTGTAAACTGCACTGATTACTTAGATGTGACAGTTCTCTTTGGAACAAACTTAGAAAGAACTTATAACACACCTAATGAGATAGAGGGGAGTAATTGTTTTTAGGTACCTGTGTACCTTCTAACTTTTTCTTTATCAATAATATCTGAAGTATGTTCTTGTATAAATTTTGATATTTTTCTTGTGAGATTTACGTTGATGGTGTATGCTCTTTATGTTTTGCGTAAAACACGTGCATGTTTAATCTGATGTGCAGTTTGATTGTGAATAGTGCTTTAAGAGATGGACTTGCTGACCTGAGAAGTGCAGCCATGAGGAAGGTGAGAGCAGGGACAGAATTCTGAACAGCCGAGGCGAAAGTGGGCGATGTATTGTCCAAACCCAGCAAATAGAATCCTTGGTTTGCTGTTATTCTGTGAAAAGGTACGTACATAAGATAATTCATTAATTATTTTACATGTCACTGCACTAAATTGTTATAATTGGAAGTGTGTGATCTTCTTGTATATGAATCATACCCAATTAGTGCCAGAAGGAAGAACTGAACTAAGAATGAAAAGGTAATGGCAGGCCTCTCCTTCCTGATAGCAAAACTAGACAGTTAATAGCGCTTCATGTAGGTTAAGGCCAAATACAGACCCAAAAAAACACGTGAAATGTAAGAAGAAATGAGTGATCACTGTTCAAGGACATACTTTTCGAGAAAATAGGCAAAAGGAAGGAGTAGAAGCAAAGCGATGACATTCCTATAAACAGGAAAGACAAGCTTGCTCACTCCCATGTTAAGGGCAGCTCTAGAGACCACATGAAAACCGGCATACCCAAACTGCAACGCCAGCATAGCGGCATGCAGCTGGAACTTTTCGGGGATCGAACACCACATCCTCTTAGAGTGAGCGGCACCACTATCCGCCATTTTTACTAAAACTATTAAGCACTAGTTTCAGAATTTGATGAGAGTAAAAAGAGAGGGAAGGATATAGATGTTGAGATTTTTGGACCAAAGTTGTGGAGTATAAATATAAGAATACAAGGGAGTGATTGGGTCCCTATATGGTATAACTTCATGGCCCACAATGTAGGGCCATAAAAGATGTTATACAACTAATTTTTAAAAATGAGGCTTCCAAATGAATTTGGTTGTTTTCCATATATATCCTTGTTGCTAGACTTTTTCTAATTTTCTCTCTCTTTATGTATTGCTAAGCTGAAAAGACAGTCTCTAATTGCTATAAGGAACAAGGTTCTGTTTGGAGGCATGCGAATAATCATGGGTAATAAAGGAGTAGGGAAAAAGGGAGAAAGCCAGAAAAGAGAAAGAAAGAGGTGATTGTCTATGAATTGAAGCCGCCATTGATAGATAGAATAAGATAGCATGCACGCACGAGGGGTGGTGGGTTACTCCCATGCGTGCCTTCTTCCTTAGTACCCCACCATCACCCTCCACAGCCCCACCCTCCTCTCTCATACTGTCATATACACTTGTATTGACTTAATAAATATTACTTTAATCTCTTTATTAACTTTAATAAATACATGAATTAATACAAACAATATTGACTATTATAAACAACTATACTTTTCTTTTCTCCTTTAATTTCTCCCATCACGAATGCATTATCATCAATACAACTATACATGTAAATTATAATATGGCTTGGTCATAGGTTTTGTAGATGTGATGAACAACAATGTTTTCCATTGTCTAGAAATATTAACATTTTTTAAGTTGTAATATTATTCTTCACAATATTTATTGCAGTCTTCTCTGTGATTTGGAAGATTGAAGAGAATGTTGTATTTTATAGGAAAATTTTCTTCTATTTCAGATAGTATCCCTGAGCTTTAATTTATTCATGATATTATAAGAATATTTTATAGTGGTCCAATGGTTTAATAAATCCTCAGTATCAATGATTTTTTTTTTAATTACATTTTATAAGACTCGCTGCAAGTATTTCATAATATTATGCATTTTATGATAATATAAGATATAGAGGAAAAACTTTTTGACGGTTTAAGTATATTCTTATATACATGTACAATAAACTTCTATACATCATATGATAGTATAGAAAAAAAGGAGTGAAGACTTCTTTATTTTAAGGAGGTAGCAAATTTTTAAAATATTCCATAAACATTTGACTTTTAATGTAGATTTTTTGGGAACTTTGGACTTATATAGTCTTGTGCTACCTGCTTATATTTTTAGGTATGCGGCTGTTTGAAGGTGGATGTTGGATTTGCTTCACTATAGACAAGATGAACATGAATACTCTATGATATGACCTCTATTACTGGACCATAAGAATGATGTTCGGGATCATTGTGTCTAAGATTAGCATTTGAAGCTTAATAAAATTGTGATCAAGGAATGTCAAGCTTTATATTTTGTTTCATGTCAGGGATCACTGAGTTATATCTGTAGTTGATCTCTAGAGGCCGCTTAGAACAATGTGAAAAGGGTGTTCTTGAGTTCTTGACCGTTTGAGTGGCGGTGATGAAACATAGGTAATTAAAAGTGTTCAATGGTGGCAGTAGTGGTGGCGAGCATAAGGTGTTACTATGATCGAAAATTGTGGTGTCACAAAGCAGAATGCTTAAAATTGATGTAGCAGTATTAGATGATATTGTAATAGGACATGTGGTCACTGTGGTGTTGGGAGAGTGGAAGGGAATGCTTAGGGTTTTTGTTCTTGATTTCTATAATTATAGTTGATCTATTCACACTCACACACATTTATCAATGCCTAGTCAAACAAGCCAAGTTAATTAGTCTAACCAGGCCAATTTCTTTCGAACACATATGAGAATTCTGGATTATTCCAATAATATCATATGGATATACAGAGTTATTCATCACAGTTATGAGTTTCTCGAAGTGAAGTGCCCACTTTAGTGGTATTTAGATTTGGTAATGGCTTGCATTGATAAAACTGATGAGACACCAGACGTCTTGAGAACATTCTTATGTAAAGGTCTTCAAGCTCAGCATAATTAAAAAAAATACTTGAGTGTTTGGAAGCTTAGGTTTGGAATAATTGGATGTATTAGAGAATAAGAGGTAGAATGAAGAAGTAGTGGATTGAAATTATAGGATTATATTTGACAATGATGGACATGACCGTTTATTGGAATTAATTAAGGGTTTGAATTCAGACAGTTGATCTGCTTTGATTTTTATTCTGTGTGCGGGGATTTTTTTTGCTTATGGTTGTACTATTTTTTTTATCGGAAGTCTCTTTTAAATTTAAGTAATTTTATCTAAATGTATTTACCCTTATCTAAATCTAAATCTAAATTTATTTTTTAGTCTTGAAAGATCTTATTTGAATTTATTTTGACTTTTTTTAGCAGAAGTATAAACAACAAAGCCATGTGTATGCTTCTTTGTAGACCTACTGTATTAGGTGTGCTTATCATTATAGGTGGGAGTTTGATGTATTATTATTAGTATTGTTGTGTTTTTGTTTGCTTTTCTGGTTATGGAAAAACTAGTACTCATAATTATATCTCCTCTTGACAACCTATTATGGAATTATCTACAAACTATGTGTGTGTAATATGTGGGGTTTTCATGAATAAATAATCTCTAATTGTTGTTTCTTGTGTCACTTGTATGGTATGGTTGTGTACTCTTGGACCACCTCAAACCAACCCTAGGAGCTTCCTCGTCGACTCAAACCACATCTTAGCAAGGTTTACAATGAAATGTTGAAATTATGTCTCTGTGTTACAGAAAACTTTCACAAATAACCAACTTGAACCCTTGGACTTTGTTTGGTTGATGGGATTTGGCTAGAAAAGAAAAGAAAGGAAATTTTATTATTTCCCATATTTGGTATTATAAATGATATAGGAATTGGTAGGAAAGGAAAGGAAAGAGTCTTTACAAAAATTTCACTTTCCTTTCCTACCAAAATTGGAGGAATTTGAGAGGAAAGAGAAAAATAAAAGATGCTTCCTTTCTCTTTCCTTCATTTCATTACATTTACCAAACATGGGAAAATAAAATTATTTTTTTCTTCCATTTTCATTTCTCTTCCTTTCCTTTACTAAGAAATGCTTGAATCACTTCACACCAAAAAAAATAAAAATAAAAAAAATAAATGCTTGAATCAAAGGAAATTAGAACCCAAGGTACCAAAAAAAAAAAAAAAAAAAAAAGAATATAAATATAAGTGCCAAACTAGAATCTCTGCAAACTTATTCAATTTGGAAAATTTTATACTTTAATAACATACCATCCATCATAAAAGCAAACTCCTTTCGGCCGTACATGTACTGCTTTGCTTATATAGTTATATACAATTCTATGCCATTATTAACTCTTAATTGTCGGTTGCATCCCTCATTATTAGGTCAAATGACATAATCAGTTTTAGTCTAATTAAAATGTTATGAATATTCATATCTGCTGACTAGCAATAGTGAAATGAAAAAATGCAGCTAAGAACATGTGTGTAGCAATGTACCAATGGTGCTCTTTTTCCTCTCTTTTTAATTTTTAATTTTTATTTTTAACAATTAAGTGAGATTTGATAATCTTTTTCTTATTTGTGCTTATACAAAAGATTTTGGAGTTATATTATGGAAAGAGTAAAGAAAATAGTTTATACTTTTGATGCAAACATCTTGTTTATACAAGGAAAAAATTTCATTCCTTTAACCTTTTCTTAAATTCTCACTTTATGTGAATCCCAATACAAGCCTAGTGTCTAGTTGTCTACTGAAGAATGAAGATGCCATTGAGTGAGCCTCATCATGACACTCTGCACAGTTAAACAGTTAGTAACAGTTTTTTAAAACTGTATAAAATAAATATGCTAAAGATTGTTCAATCAAGCACAAATTTTTTTAGTTAAATACTACTGGCTAGGAGAAAGAAAAGATTTTTAAATAAATACTCCCTTCATTTCCAGTAGTTGCATTTTATTCAATAATTGTTAGTTGGTGGTGAATTTGTTGTCACTAACAATAAACAAACTATTAAAGTAGGAAATTTCGTTATTATAAAACAAGCAAAAAAGTGTTACTTTTTTGTAAGAATATATGGGGTATTCAATTTACAAAAAAAAACCTTTTAAATTTAAAATAATTATAGTAGTTGTATATTAGTAGTTGTATATTAGAAAATTCATTCATAAACCATTATTACTGTGTAAGTGAGATTTGTTAAAATATATGGGGTATTCAATTTAAAAAGGCCTTTTAAATTATTACATTTTTCACCACATAATTTTAGTAGTTGTATATTAGAAAATTCACTAGTGAGATTTTTTTCACATCCAAAATAATACTTGTAGTCTCATACCAAGTATAGGAGATTATTAATTCAAAAAAACAGTATTAC